TCCCAATTAGAGCCATGGAAAGCAGTGACCTATATTTCCCCATTCCATATTTATGGAAGGTTTGCATTTCAGGGTATTAGCTCCTTATGTTATTACTCTCCATATATCTACCCATAGTGTTAATTTACCTTCATGAGTAATTCCAGTTTGCTGTGTCAGTGTTTGTCTGACTGATCAGTTGGGGAAACTGCCACTTGCAGAGCTGAGATTCGTGTGCAGCCCAAAAGCCTCACACTCCAAAACAAGAGTTATTCTCATGGGCTCTTAGGTCGGCTCTTTTCCCCCCCTAATTTGTCCACTCTGTTTGTGGCTTTTGCACAGCAGTGGTTTTATTCTCTTCCTGGTGAAAAAGAAAGAACTTAAATTCCCATTGATTCCCATCAGTGGGAAAGGAGGGAGGGAGAGACTATCTGAACCAACAATGAGGCCCTTCTACAACTTTTTATATTATGTGACTTATTATGTTGTAAAATAAATATTAATTTATTAGATGCGTTTATTATTTTTTTGGATTATATAATTTTTAGTTTGTTGTTTAATTTCTGCTTTTTTTTCAGTTGTAGACCAATACTATAAAAAATTCAGACTCTTTTTTAAAAACAAAAGAAGTATGTAATAAGTGCACGTAACGAAAATATGTAATGAAGCCTTGCTCAGGCAAACCTTCCATAGCAGACTGCAGTCACAGACCAAGATGGAGCACAAGAATGATGCACTTATTTTTGTAATTCTGTAAATGGAGCTGGTATTCTATGCTGTGCTAGTACTCAGTTTCTAGCCCACTGATGGAACAGTGTAAAGATTGAAGAAGTTCACCCCTTTGAGAGAGAAAATCCTGTGTTTATGCAATACCTGGATACTTGCCTACTCCCACACCACCCACTCTACAGCCAATTACACTTTTGCTAGAGATATTTACAGAGCTGAACACACAGCTGTAATTTATTCTGTTCCATCCAGTTACCTCAGTTATGTAGGAAAGGCCATTGTATGATTTTTTAACCTTCCGGCGACATGCAGTAGATTGTGAATTGTGAGGTTCCAGCTTTGCTTTACTAATCCTATCAAGATTGCATGAATTCTTTAAAAAAAAAACACCCAAAGATAAAAATCTAACTGGAAACATAGCTTTTAGGACCTCTGATTTTCATCTCTTTTCCTCATTCCAATGTGACAATGTAAAGCTTTAGCAGAGTGGGAGCAAATACTTCAGTGCTGCCTGTGTTTGCTTTTATGTGGAAGGTTAGTCTTGGGTCTTGGGCTTTTCTGCGGCAGCGCATTCAGCAACTTCATGGCCTGGGCCTTTTGCTGAGCATGGAGATTCCTCTGTTTTATGGCTATGGGTGACCTATTAAAATAGAAGATACTTTGTATCAGCAAAAATGTGGATTCCATGTGTAAGTATGTAAAAGAAGCCGCTGAGCCCTGCTCCCTCTTCTCCTCCATCATAGTTCTCCTGCCCCAAATTTCTCTGTGCTTGTTCCTGCTACCATAACATCCATCTTGCCACTGATTTCACTGAGACTTTAAGTTATCTGAAAACTCAAGCTGAAGTTTACTGATCTAAGTGTAAGCTGCTGCTAGGAGGGTTGATTCTATCTTCACCTCCTTTTCATCTCCCTCTTTCCCTTTGCCTCAAACCAGATATGTATCTATTGCCTCCTTCCTCCATCCATGTCAGGCACATCAAGGAACTTATTTTGCCTGGAGACAAGTCCTTTCATTTATTTATTTTTGCTGGCACGAGATGAAAAGGGAGCAGTGCCTGGCTTTGGCGCACTGTTCCGAGCCAGCACAAAGGGACAGGAGCACCTCTTGGGACCACAGGCACTAAGTCCTGCTATTAACCTTCCTCCCCTTTGAAAGAGGTTTGGTATCCGGATCTACAGACTTCTTGGCAATTCAGACTGAGCTTTTTACTGGCGGAAAGGGTTGTGAGGTCTCAGATCAGATTACTGATCCAGCTTTTAATAAGCAAACCTTTTCTTTCCATGTTTCTTTTAAAAGTAAAATTAGTTTTTTACACCCTGAGGAGAGGGGAACCTCATTCTCTGATGTTGTCACTAAGGATTTTGTGTACAAATCCATGGTATGGTGTGTGAGGCAGAAGGTGATGATGTAGTAATTAGCTTGGAAGATTTATTGAAGGGATCTAACAACTGGCAGGGCAAACCTGCATGGTTACCAACTTGTAAATAGCTCCCTTTCTAATTGGTAACTGCAACAAACAGCATAAGTTTTTGTTCCACTGTGACAAAATAAGAGCCTTAAATGGGAGTTTTTATCTTTTCTCAATTCCTTCATATTTAAATTAGATTTTAAAAAATGACACCTTGATTTCCATCTGTTCGCTTGAGAGTGCAGTGGTGCTCGGGAGGCGGGAGTGGGAGCAATTGTTCCCGGCATCTGCAGAGGAGCAAGGGGAATGCAAGGAGGGAAGGATCCCATTGGAAGGATACCTATTCCTTTAAAACATTGGAAGCTTGGATGTCCTCTTCCTCCTTGCTGAAAGCTGGAAAGCTGTGTTTCAGATATTATGTTCTTGTAGCACCTAAGCCTGGTCCAAATTTTGCTGAAATCTGTCAGCAAGACAAGAAAAGCCAAAGCAGATATATTGCCTCTTTAAACAAGCTGTGGCAAAGATTATATTTCCTTTTTTTTTTTTGGCTTTACTTTTCCCTTCTCAGCTTCAGGAGTTCAGTAACCTTCCCAGGTGAGAGCTGTGGCCATACCACACGAACCAACCAGTAAGTTTTCCATTTTAGAACTGGTCCAGAGTTTTTAAAAATATCTATAAAGTGTGAAAAGTTTGATTTGTTTAGTATCCTGCTGAAGACATCTCCAGGTCACTAACAATTGCAAAATGTAAGTCCTCCAGCCCTGATTTCATGGGTACCCATAAGGAAGGGTTCTTACTGACAGCATGGCCTGATATTTAATATGAATCAGGTTCTCACAGGTCTCTAATGCAGATTATACGTAAGAAACAGATTGGTTTGCTAACCACATGTGGAGAACTTTCCTCTGGAAGATCACAGTGAGTTTCAGAATATCATAATGAAACAATTATAAGTTTGAGCTACTCAAACTGGCCAGCTGATCCTTGTCCCTGCAGGATTAGTAGGACATGAAAAAATCATTTATTTATAATTATTGAGGATGTCTGTAGAAAAGAAATTTAAGCAGGCTGCATCTGTAATGGATTTAGTTTTAATTTTGCATTAGCATGAAGAAAAGCAAAATATTAACGTTGGGCTATACTTCTTGAAGTAGTTAGATTGTCAATTCTGGTATGAATTTTATTCTGTAAAATTGTCAAAATACACTTTTCTTTAGACAGCTCTGAAAGAAGTTATACTTAGAAACTTTTATTTTAGTTCGCAAAGAAAATTGCTTAAGAACTTTCCAAGGTTGAAAATAACTCCTACATTTGCCTGAATTTGTCATTTCTATTTGATGCTAATAAGGTTTAAAAAAAAGACTGAAAAGAAACCCATACATTTTCCATGTATTTTGGGAATGGTTTGCCTTAAAGTTAAAATTATCACACCAGATGATAAGAAGAAATAGTAGTCAAGGAAGCATGTCCTAAACTATCCAATAACTGTATGTAAGTCAGTGTACATACAAACCATGAACAATAGGCAAAGGGTTAAATTCAGTCTGTCTCATGGTGGATGACTGAGCCAGCTTTCTCAACTACTACTTCTTTCTGTGCAATGTGCTAATAACTTCTGAAGTACCCTGGTCTCAAAGGCCTTGCAGTAGGACATGGCCCTAGTTTGAGCTGTCAGCTGCTAGAAATCTGCTTCAGATCCACACAGAGTCCAGGAGTGAAATTCTGGCTGCTCCAAAGTGAAAGATTAGTGCAGCATTTTTTAATATTTTCCTTCATACAGTTGCCACATGTACAGTAATATTCACACTGTCAATGGAAATTAATTAGTGGCAGTATTTTCAGAATCTCTTTATGCTGTTAATTGCTGATGCCAGAGCAGCTATCAGTACCAAACAGTCCGTGAAACCTTTCCATTTGGTTGACCTTGGTGCTGTTGGAGGAGAAAACTTGAGTGTACCGGCAGAATTTGTGCTTTGCAGTCTTAGACCTTGAATGTTCCCATTACTGCCTAGATAATTGTGTAAAATATCAGTGCTGCTGAAAAATAGCATTTTTTCCACTATCTTTACTGTGTCATTGCATAATCTAGCTTTGTATTCAAGAATTTCAAGCCTACATTGTATTTAGTAACATTGATTTCTTTGGTACCTATTTGATCTGCATTTGTAGCAGTGTTTATACTCTCTTTCTTAAAGAGAAGTTAACAAAAAAAAATCCTGGCACTGAAATGTAAATGATAAATCCATTGAGAATTAGGACCTTAAACCCCAGCCACTGGAGTGGGGTGCTCACATCTGCTGCTGTGGAAAGGGTGGTTCCTCAGCCACCTCCAGCCATGCTGCCTCCTGCCAGTCGTGTTTCTCTTCACCTTAAGCTTTTTTTTTTTTTAAATTTATGTCAAAGTAAGGTGGGCATGTAACCATGGTCTTATTCTACTCTTTCAAGATACATTTTCTGTTAACTGTGCATATCTGTTACTTCTTTCACAACCCATGATGAATGGTTGGGCTCTGTAAATTTAAATGATTTTTAGGGCTGTCCCAGAGAACTTTGCAATTATCTCTTGAAGCAAACTCTACAGTGGGAATTTCCAGCTCTTCATAATCTTTTACAGCACCCTTCTAAAAAGTGTGCCTTGAAAAAGAAAGGAAATTTTAATAGGATTTTTAAATATAGTTAATTCAAAGAAGTCCAGCAAGCAAGGCCTAGCTCCATAGGGAGAGGCAACTAAAGCCTACAGTGCCTAAAGCACAAACAGTGCCTGAATATCCAAGGAACTAGGCTAACTGCCTATTCTCCAAGAACATTCCTGTTGCATTCATAAATATTAAGGTCATCCCCAGGCAGAACTAACTCAGAATTAGTGACAGGTATGCAATGCTTTTATTTAATACTGCGCTTTAAGGTAATTGCGCAATTCCACACCCATGCATGCAGCCAGTCTCTGACATCCCATAGAAGCATCCTGCACTCATCCTCATCCCAGCTCCTGAACAACACTGGCTCAGCTGTCCAGCCCTGGTGCAGGCAGCTCCCTGCGAGGGAGCGGGGCTTTGGTTTGGCCAGCGGGCGATTCTCCCAGCAGGAAAATCAAGGGGTGTGGATGTACATCTGCAGGGCAGCTTGGCAAGGCTGAGGAGAGGCAGGCAGCCAAGGCTTGCTGTGGAGGAAAGAGCAATTACCAGTGAGGGGGAGGAAGGGTTGTACAGCTCCAAGTACAGCACAATCCCAATTTTGGCCAGTAAACATTACGGTAACTGATTATTCTTGCCTATTCTTGCTGTCTTCAGTCCAATGGTAAATGGCATGACAAATCTTTGCTATCTTCCTTAAACAACAGGTTTCAAGATCCTTTCTGTTCAAATGTAAGCCCAAACTGGAAGATTACCTTTTTATGGAAACACCTGGATTAGTTTAAACCTTCTGTATGTGTCATGGAAAACCCACAGAAAGACAGAGGTGCCTTTTCTGCTATCCTTGCTTCCGTGGGCTGCTGTTTCCCATGGCGGGAATTGAAATACTCAACAATAAATGTTTATTGCTGTAACACTTAAATGTTTGAAATCAGTTAAGGGAGGATTTTTCATTTGACTGTTACTTTATTTAACTGTTATTAGTTCTGTGGTTTCTAGGTTGCCACATCCTGACCAACAAAATGGTCAGAATTTATTCTGGGGTGTATCATTTCTTGAAGTCTAAGGGATGAAAAGGGATGCTTATCTCCTGTCAAGCTCCTTGGAGAGCTATGAGGAAATGAGCAATAAAAGGTTCTTTGAGGCTCTTTTAGCTGTAGTTTATCATCTATTATAGTTACTGATGTGTGGAAACCAACAGAAATACTTTACATGTTTATGGTTACAAAGCCCTTAACAGCTGTAGCTATGGGCTGAGCACTTACAGCTTTTTGAAATTTCTTTTTATAAATATAACATTAAATCATTGTGATTTTGTAAACCAGTTGCCTTAAGAAAACCCCTGAGATAATAATATGTGGGTTGATCTACTCAATCAGGGTTGGTTTGTGGGTACTCGCTTGCTCTCACTTGTTTTCCAACTCCACCAATAGAGCAACACGGGAGGTGGGCTTTCTGGGGGCAGGGCTGATGATGGCCAAAATGCACAAAGCAGCACTTCATTTTATTTCACCTTGCTGGATGCTGTGCTGGATGGGAAATCAGGGTGGGGAGAAGAAAACTGGGTGAGTCAAGGGCACTCAGCATAATGAAGGGCTCAGGATTGTGTAAACCTCTTTCCCCTCCTTAGGACTGGAGGACACAGCAAATTTCTTTATCCCTGAGGGAGCCAGATCTGGAATTTGCAGAGACTCAGTCCTCAGGAGCACTAGTCAAGCAATTACTATGCAGAGAGCTTTCTGCCTCAGGCTGGCTGGCCCTTCATTACAATTTCCTGTTCCTCATGAGTCTTTTCATACAATTTTATGACAGGACTGCACTCTTCTCTGAGTGCATTTATCCTCTCTGCATTTCTGTTCTCATCTGGCTTGGGTGGACTTCTTGCATCTAATCCTCTCCAATGGAAATGATGAAACTAATAAGCCATTTGGATCCAGTGCAAAGGATGGCACAAAGGGGACTGTTCTCAGCATTGCTGGTTAATAGTACCGCCAAGGGCATGCAATAAAACAAACACATTGAGAACACAGACGTGTCAACTCTTGCCTTCTGCATAAGAAATTCACTCTTTGGCATCCAGACTGCTGTTCACACTACGGTCGAGCCTGCACCATCCACATTTATACTGTAGCAGCCCTGTATGGGTGAGTGGCTGGTCTGGAAAGTCTGTTCCTCTGCCAGAGATGTTCCCGGAGGCCCCTGAATGCCCCTGACATGATCCAGCATGCAGATTTATCCATCACACACTTGCATGCCTGTCCCTGGCCAAACACAAATCCCATGCATTGGGATTCCAGTAACTCAAGAAGTCTGAGAATATGCAGCAGTAAAACAAACATCAGCCATTCAACTTCCAAAAATTGCATTAAGCCAGAAGAGACAATGTTGTTTTTGAAGGTCTGTTTTAAATCAACCCAAGTATTACTCTGAAGCTAGGGCTATAATTCAGTAAAACTTGATACAATCTTGGAAAGCCATAGAAAGCTTTAGGAAATACCACTGGAAGTTGAGACCTACAGATACAGCAAGAATCTGCATTTTTAAACTAAATAGACATGCCACTTATATAGTAATTGAAGCACACTGCAAAGGATGAAGGGTTACCTTTTCAACAAAAATCCTTACATTTAGAAGTCTTTGTCTGCATGCAAAAACTGAACCATTTTCCCAATGCTATTTGCAGCGGAAATATTCATATAGAGGAAAGGTACATCTATACTGCCGTGGCAGTTGGCTCAGTGATATTGCTGATTGCCTTACTTCGTTGATCCTTTAAGCTACCAGGAAGGCTGACTTCTAGGATATTCAGCTCTGCAGAGGAGTTTGGAGGATAGGGGGTAAGGTGCAAGAGAGAGGTCAGCCCTCCCTTCAGGGGCTGCTGCTCCTGCTCTAAGGAGAAGAGATTAAAATAATTTGTGACATTTTTGATGAAATGTTACATTTTTGGATTGGCTTTGCCTCCTCTAGAATTTTCCTTAAATAGCTACATTCTGTCCATTTTGCACAAATATTAATTGAGTTTCACTGCACATTTTACTTGTGAGGGAAGGTGGCTGATGCACAAAAGTTAAATGACTTCATATGTAAGAAAATCTATTTTAGAGTTAGCATTGAAGGACACCAGAGCTGCTTCCCACCTCTCCTGCATCCATTTCTGTATTGTGTTTCTACCTAAATGGGAAGGGTAAAAAATCATAGACTCATAGAATTGTTAAATTTGAAAAGATTGGTTGGTTTAATAGCATCGAGTCCAACCATTAGCCTAACACTGCCATGTTCACCACTAAACCGTGTTCCCAAGTGCATATTCACATGGGGGTTTTTCATGCTTGCAGGTATGGTGATTCCGCTATTTCCTTGGCATCCTGTTCCAATGTCTGACCACCTGTTCAGTGCAGAGATTTCATTTAATATTACAGAATGAATTAGGTTGGAAAAGACCTATGAGATCATCGAGTCCAACCTATGACCTAACACCTCCGAGTCAACTAGACCATGGCACTGACTCTCCCCTGGTGCAACTTGAGGCCATTTCCCCTTGTCCTGTTACTTGTTATCTGGGAGAAGAGACCAAATCCCACTTTGCTACAGCTTCCTTTCAGGTAGTTGTAGGGAGTGATAAGGTCTCCCCTGAGCCTCCTTTTGTCCAGGCTAAACAACCCCAGCTCCCTCAGCTGCTCCTCACCAGACTTGTGCTCCAGACCCTTCACCAGCTCTGTTGCCCTTCTCTGGAGATGCTCCAGCCACTCAATGTCTTTCTTGAAGTGAGGGGCCCAGGACTGGACATAGTGTATGAGGTGTGACCTCACCAGTACCGATCACTTCCCTGGTCCTGCTGGGCACAGACCCTTCTTGGCCACGTGGGCACACTGCTGGCTCACGTTCAGCTCCTGTTGACCAGCACCCACAGGTCCTTTTCTGTTGGGCCGTTTTCCAGCCGATGTTCCTCCAGCCTGTAGCACTGCAAGGCATTGTTGTGACCCAAGTGCAGGACCTGGCACTGGGCCCTGTTGAACCTCATAAAATTGGCCTTGACCCATCAATCCAGCCTGTCTGTATAAAATAAAGCATGACAATTTCTAGTGATACTTGCTTCATAGCTTCTTTCTTATAGACTCAAGATGACATATGAGTAAGATAACCTTCTTGTTTTCATTGAAACATCAGGATGATATTATTGTTCCTTTAGGCTCCATATTTTTATCATTAAAAACACAGATCTAGACACTACACACATTTTTTGACCTTTTTACCAAACACAGTAATATTATGATTAGATACAAAGAAGGCTTAATGTCTTTGAGGAATCAATATTGTCTTTTTTTCCTGCACTTTTTTTACAATGTTGATGTGACTTTTTCTCTGATTAACTCTTTTAAGATATACACTTATGTTGATCAGAGTATTTTTGTCAAGAGCTTTTTAATTGAAAATGGCCTACAATGATACAAAACTTCCAATATTTGAATTTGTTACAGCTTTTACAAAAAAAAAAAGCATATCTGAAATTAATTAATAAGCCATAGTTGCTGAAGGAAACTAAAACCAGTTACATGGCAGTGACATTTTAATCTCTCCTAGTACTGACTTCATATTCCATGATATTATTTCCTAGAATTTGGATGCTTTGATCTAGTGAAGTAATCAATGCAGACTTTGCCCTAAGCCTGGAAACATGATGCATATTTTTAATGTGACTACCAAGAACTGACTAAAATGTCTTCTAAGAAAATGTTCAAGACAAATGAAGGACAACAGATTGTAATAGCCAGAGCTGACTTCATAAAATCATAAAATGGCCTGGGTTGGAAGGGACTTTAAAGATGTGTCCTCTGCTGTGGACAGAGACACCTTTCAGTAGGCCAGATGGGTTTTTTTAAGAGTGGTGAATGAGATGGTATGAAGAGTTCTGGAGGGCTTGCCTGCTCAGGAGTTGATAGTACATCTGTGTAAATAACCTAACAAAAAAAAAGTCTAATGCCTAACTGGTTTTGGTGCTTGCTTTCTCCTCAGGTTTGCCAGTTTGTTGTATCTGTCAACGGCCTCAATGTTCTTCATGTGGATTACAGGACAGTGAGCAACCTCATCCTGACTGGCCCTCGAACAATTGTGATGGAAGTGATGGAAGAAATGGAGGCCTGAGAAGGCAAAAAACCCTCTTACTGGATATTTTTGTGAGAGAAATGGTGACAACCATGAAGTGACATGAGACAAGGCAGCAGGATGTTGCTGTGTCTAAATAGATGATTTTGCTTTTAGGGGAGGAGACTCTCTTTCACTTAACAATAATACCACTGGTGATTATGCTAAGATGTGAACAATAGATACCAGCAAATTTTCACTACAGACTTCTCTTTGCCTGACAGAAACAAGATTAAGGCCTTTAGATTGTCCAGCCATATCTCCATCAGTCAGAATGGTTTCCAACCTATGAAGTTTTGCATATTGTCTCATAGTCCACCACTGGATCAGAGCACTTCAGGAGGTGAAAGAGCCAAACACGGTGGGGTCAGTATGTCACAGATGG